TCTCCTGAGGCTTTTTTTTTTTTTTTTTTGGGTCGGAATATTTCTCCTGAGGCTATGCGACAATTTGAAGTCTTGTATGATAGTGTATGGAGAATGTTGCCAAGAGTTGTCGGTTATCCCAGAACAATGTGCCTGTGTGGTGAGAAACTCTTCCACGAGTATCAATATACACTAGACCCTTCGTAGATAGCAAATGGTAAAGTTGGCAGAACATACTTGCTCCCCCACTAAAACCAATTTGCTCATAATTTTATATAGTTAAGGAACATTCTCTCATGCATGGGAGTCCAATTCCTGTTTGGTAACACTTTCATTTTTTTTGTTTTTTGTTTTTTTAGTGAACAATAAAGGGGAAATTACGAGAGCTATAAGAGAGGAAAGAAGGAAAGAGTAAGGGAAAAACAAAAGACAATGTATGAATATGAACTTTCCTCAATCCTTCAAACAAAGGGTTTCCTCATAAATAAAAGACTTGCAACTTAAGTAGTTAAAGAACATTCACTCATGCATGGGAGTCAATATTTCTGATTAAAGCTAAAAATGAGCCTGAATTGAACGATTTAAGTGCATTTCCATTTTGCACTGGATGGTATAATATCATAATAGTATTTCTTGGTTGGTTTTACCACAATTGTTGAGCATGAAGTTCAATATACCTCTGCAGTCCAAAACCCTCCTTTATCACAATGAGTACTAAACATTTAAACCATGAATCCCCAACCACCAAGCCAAAATATAGCAGCCAAGCCAATGTTTCATTTTCAGCCATTTTGTTTGCATCTTTAAAGTGGGAAAAATCATACTTGACAAAAAGGAATTCAAGTAAATGGCCAAAACTTCCATTAGAAAAAGAAAAGTAAAAGTCAAACAAAACGTTTCTTTACTGCTTTGATTCAAGTGTCCTGACCCAAATTTTTAGACATAGCAAGTACATCTACAACTAGTTTTGCACGATTTTAGCCAAATTTGAGGAAGACTAGAAGAGGAGAAGAGGTACAATCTGAAAGCTACCTCAACACAAAATTTCATCGGCTCAAAACATCTGCCTTCACAATGTTAGTCATCACCCCATGTTGATGGTCCGCCTGTTCCAATTTCATCCACAGGCAATGGCTGTAGTGTAGAACCAGTGCCGCGATTTTTAGCTTTTTTCCTCTTAGAAGGGAAGGTTACTAAGCCACCCAACAAATTCGCCTCTTGACTGACCTTGTCATTAACTTTGTTTTCACCACCAACCTCAGCATCTCCCATATTAACAGAAAAAAGCTCCAAAAACGGTGTGTCTGCATCATCAATAACATCAAGTTCACCTTGTTGTTTCACCTTTGCTTTCTCTAGTTTTTTCCCAACCTTGGTATTATCTTCTGTATGGGGTGGATTCTTTTTCTGCTTCTTTTTCTGTGATTCCTTCTCCAAATCCCCAGCTTTTTGAAGATTACTAGGATCACTTTCATTTAACACCTGATGTTTGTAGCTCTTTTTCTTGACATGATCACTTTTTTCATCCCCCTGGACCAAAACTTCGTGGTTTGAGACATTGTCATCTGGTTTCTGCCTTTTCGGTTTCAATTTCTTCGTATCAGAATCACTAGAGTTTTCAAGCTTACCAATACCACCCTTAGTACCACTCTTAGTTCCAGCCATCATAAGATGTTTGAAGTCTCTATCTTTTCGCTTTTCTGTTTGACTTTCTTGCTTGTTAGCAGCATTAAGTGAAGAATCATCAACTTCATCAACTCCAGCATCCTTTTCATTCTTGGTGTATTTATCTATTGGTCTTGCATTGAATACGTGCAGGTTCGGCAATATTCTTTTAATCTACAGTAACATTGTTTCTATAAGAATTTTTAACAAGGGTAAAACTGGAGTCAAGATAGAGATCCAAACAGGAAAAAGGCTAGGACAGTAACCAATACCTTCTTTGCTAATTTATCCTTTTCAACAATAGGGTTCCCTTGCAGATTGAGATTTTTCAGATTGACCAATGAATCGAGCACCTATTTCAGAATGTGACCAAGATTCAGGGAACATTTTTTCACAAAAATAGAAAGAAAGATAGAGAAACAAAAGTTTCTGCTCCTTGCATCTTACCTTCAGATCGGACCATCTTGTGATCACATTATTCCCCAAGTCCAGATTCTGGAGTTTCTTATTAAGAGCCAACTCGGCTGGGAGACCCTGAGCATGCACACAGATAGTGAATAAGTGAGTGAGATAGAGAGAGCAACCTAATGAGCCAACCCTGACAACACACACATAACAAAACTAGCTACTTGATGAACACAATTTATTTTCAACATTAAAGGGAAGAAATAAACATGAGATGACTGCATAACTTGAAAAGAACAGTTACTATAACTGAGCAGGGAAAAA